ACAATATCTAATATTGAATATAAAAACACCAATTTCAGTGAAGGAATCTATTTTCAATGAATTTTTTCTATCAAGCTGTACAATCGTATAAATATATATGTGGAAATATTTTGTTGCAATACTATTACTGTGAGAAAGTATAAATAAGGAATAACCAATATGATGTAATAGAAAGATTATAATACTAGATTATGTAGTACGAATAATAACCAATAGACTTAATAAGTTAGTAACAAATTATAACATGAATGTAGTAAAATGATTAGAATGTTCTTATCACTATTGGGTTGCGTAAATTATTAAGTTTTCGATTGAGATCACGAACTGGTTGATGTAAGACCACCATTGAAAACCTGGAAGCATTTGACGGTCGTTTCGTTCTATTGTGAGACTCCTCAGCTGTGTGCATTGATGATTCCAGTCCAGGAACTTCTGAACTAGTGAAACTAATCTATGTCAGGTAGAGACAAGTATCTTCCTCAGTACAATAAAAGATAATCGCGCGATTTCATGGATTGATTAAAGTTAGACATTAACACCGGTGGATGTTGGCCAGCTCAATGGTCTAGTAGGTTAGGCGTTCGCGCGAGAGACCGAAGGCTTTGCGTTATAATCCCGCGGGCGGGATCGTAGTTGCGCATTGCTGAGGAATGCCGAAATAGGACATAACGACCATCCAGTGCTTCCAAGTTTTCAATGGTGGTCTAATAACAATCGATTCATGATCTCAATCATAAAATATTTTTCTTACAATAACCTAATGAAAATATGAAACATAAATAAAGGGGGAATGCAATAATAATAATAATAATAATAATAATAATAATAATAGTAATAATTAAGGTCAAGGTAATGATACCGAAAGGACTTATTCTTTGTGCTATAGTATACAATGAATTATCTTTATATTAGTCCCCACTTATATTCTCTTAATTTTTAACCTTTTTCTCAATAAAAATCTCTGTATACTACTCATATTTCAATTCCCTTACTGATCTAATCTTAACTTTCAGATACAATATAGTTAAGTATAGCTAAGAGATGGATATATTTTACCAGGTCATACGTTGGTTATAATGAACTGATTAATTGTATTAGACAATTTATTTTAAAAGAATTTAAAGAGAAGTCTTAATCTAACTGTCTACTTTTAACCGATCCATTTAAATTGATTTATTGATTTTAGCTCAACATATCTAATCAATACAAAACTTTTGATGAAGTTTTGTTCTCTGAGCTAGATGGTTTGATCATGAAGCTTTGATTGTTCTTCCGAACGACATCATCAGCACCATCAACACATATAGAATTACTTCTAACCTTACTCTTTAACATTACAAATATCACATTTACCAAACCCGTCAATATGCACACAAATACATATGAAGTTGTAAATGACATGACATCAACATAAAGAGATCCATTTGAATTTTGATTACAGTAAACTTATTCAACTTTGTTTGTTTAGTACTATTTAAACGTGTATTAATTCTATTTATTTATTCATTCATTCAAAACTTACATTACGTCTATCAATCGCAAAATTTATAGAAGTGGTACGGCGAGCAAAACCACCGCAAGAACGACTGCTTAAATGAGGGACGGGTGTGGTGTGTACTACTGATGACGATAAATATAAGTAGTATGTATCATCAATCGAAAGTGAGATACCTGGCAGCAGAAAGTTAAGAAGATCAAAGTGAAGAGAATAAGAACAAAGAATGATTGATGTGAAACTCAAAGAACAATAAATTTTGAAGCAATTGATTAACATTTTGCAAATGAAGTATTTACTGTATGATTCTCAGATTTTACTAAATGATTCTGTATTTTTGTAGTTAAATGTATTTGGTTGTCCCCATTTGTGTTCTCGTCCACTACACAATACTAACAACAACTAACCAAGAAATAGCATTTGTAATGGTTTGTATTTGCCGGATTTTCTATACGTAAATCTGATCAGCCTTCATTGGCATGTCTTTATTTAACCGTTTTGATACGGTTCTGGTGTTTTGGGTTTGTAGAATTCTGGGTGCATATCCAATTCAACTTGCGACTCATCAGTTGGACTTGTTCAAATCTCAATGTTGATGTTCCCACTTAAACTCAAACAACAGATTACTATCCATTAAGCTATTGAGTCCATATAAACACGACAGGTAACCACATTGGGTAGAAAGTTCATTCGTAAGCATTTAACTGTTTTCGCTATGATATTCACATAACAATGCACAGCTTATAATCATAACCATTTATAGCAACTCACGTTCAATTGAGTTTGCTCTCACCTAATTCGGTTAAGCCCTTTTATTAACTTATTAAACGGACAAAGTCACCTGCACTATAATAACTTATTGTATCCTTATTACTGTTGCGAATGTATGTACCTTTATTATTGTATGAATATGTATGCTCGGCAAGCCTTACTGCCTACGCATTTATTCACGCTACTAGCTTTACTATTAACCGCTTAATTGACTCGATGATTCATTAATTTCACTATGTATATATATGTCCATGTTATTCATATTCATTACTCGCTCGCTCGTTTATTCATTCACTCGCTCGATCGCTCGCTCTTGCCCTTGCTCTCGCTCGGTCGCTCGCTTGCCTGTTTGCCTTTCGTCACTACTATTTCATGCTTGCTTAACGCATCTGTAATTTTGGATATCTGTGTGTGGTCCCATAATAAATGTAATTAACACTTCGTATTCGCCTTCTGATTAATATACCGTTGGAGCGTTATGTGGTGACGATTACCGAAACGAACTGTATACGGAGTTTAAGGAATATATCGAACACCGACCACCACACACTTTATAGATTACTTATATACCTCTTAGTTAATAAGACTCATTAGGGTTGTACTTGATTGATTGGAACAGTTATTACCTATCTAATGATGATTAATTCAAATCACTGTGATGTATCTGATCCTAATGATCGTATACACAAATATACTTCTTCTATGAAAACTTTGAAGAATACCTCCAGAAAAAATTCAAAAATATTTTGACATTTCCCACCTTCCCTAATTATCTTATCTACCAGTATACTTTAATCAATTCCATATGTTGAAACATTTATATTAATACAAAACATGAAGTATTACTTAGTTTTTATGTGATGTAAAAGAAATAGATACATATTTCCATCTGCCTATTCTGGAATATTCATTCAAAAATCAAAGTGACGATCGTGAAATAAGCAACTAATAATTAAAAGTTTAATCTATGAGTCGATTTAAGCCAGACCACCATTGAAAATTTAGAAGCACTAGATGGTCATTTCGTCCTAGTATGGCCATCCTCAGTAGTACGCATACGCATACACGATCATAGATGGGCACTGTTGAAGAATCTCATACTGTAGTGAACAGAACACCAGTGGGGAACAATCGGATGTATTTAACAGCAAATTACAGAATTAGTTAGTAAAATCTAACAACGATATCGTAAATGCTCAATTTGCAGAATGTTCGTCAATTGTCTCCAATGTCTCAGAATTCCTTTATTCTTACATTTTCATACAAATTGCATTCTTTCTTCATTCTTTATTGTTCGATCTTCCCGTTTCTCTGCTGACAAACATTCTGTTCAGTACTCATGTCATATACTACTTATGTTCACATAAGTAGCACACACCACAATACTACTAGAACGAAACAGCCATCCAGTGCTTCCAAATTCTGAATGGTGGTCTAGTTCAAAATACTACAATCTGCACAAACCCCTATTATGATAATAACAATAATAACATAATTCGATTATTTAATTTTTTGAATGGTATTGACTTGAATTACTTACAAAAGAATTAACACTTAGGATGTGTAAATTTACAAAAGTCAGTTTCATCATTACCAGATAGCTTAGTTAAATGTTTAGTCAACATGTGTAGACTAGAAACAATATCTTCTCAGCGAAACCAAGTTACAATGTTTTCTATCGCTTTTGACTCCTGGTCAATTAATCTTAACACGTACGCATTTAAGGATACAATTTCTTGTTCTCCTATTAACTAAATATAAATTCAGTACAAACCCGTGAATAATTAACAGTTCGTAACAGTTCTCATAGCAATGCCAATTGTTCATTACTTTAACTTTACTACTATCAGTGAGTCAGTCAGAAACAACGTAGAATTTCGTACTTACATACATCAGTTCAAGTTGCCATAGCACATTAGCACAGAGATACAAATGTTGATCTCAATCCCATAGTAATAGAGGTAGTAAAAGTATAAGCAGTAATCAGAAACATTAGGGTTTTTAGATGTTATTGAAAGAGTATAATCCAGTGAAATGAATTTGAAAAGAGAAAAAAAGGGATATAAAGAGTTCAGAAGATTAGAATTTAAGAGAACACAAAGAGTGGATGTACCTATGTGATTGCAAACGATTTTGAACCGTTTCACTCAAGGTCTCTAACCATCGGTCGCTATCTTCTGGCGGATCCCAACCATGTAGTCTACACCAACCAACATGGCTCAGTTTATTTGTCAGTGCCATGTATGGATTTGTGCCATATTTTGATCTAACCGCATCGAGCTTTCTTTCAACTTATTCCTACACCATAAAACATCGCTATTCGAGGCAGTCGGTGGTTGAGCATATGTAACATATGTAACAATGTTTTTCATAATGTAAACTACAAACTGACTGAGCTCTATAAAACTTCTACACAACTGTTTATTTATTCGTTCTTTTTTATATAAGAAGGCATTCAGTTAAATATACTTTAAGAACAACATAAATGAATCATTTTGAATATATCTAATTTATTCTGATATTTATTAATTATATAACAATCCAATAACAGCAAAATATTAGTTTAGCTAATACTACTATGATATATGCTGCTGATATCGATAGATATAAGTAGTATATATCATTAGTCAAAAATGGAATTCATGACTGCAAAGGGTTGAAAAATCCAAGTGAACAGATTAAGAACAGAAAGTGATCGGTATGGAAAAGAACAAACAAAGTTTGAAACAATTAATGAATATTTTGTAAATAAAGTATTTTATTGTATGGTTCTTAGATTTTACTAAGATATTCTGTAATGTAATAAAAATACATTTGATTGTCCCCCCCCCCCATCAATGTCCTCATTCACTAGACTACTTGTAATTACATCACAACTATAATGATCATATTTGTATAATAACTAAGTGTAATAAACAATAAGATTGAATATTATTATCTATGATGGGGAATGTATAAACTTATGATTAGATTATCAATATTATTAGTAGTGGAACGTACTTAATTTATAGTTAAATGGTAACTATAATGAGAGAAATTCAATTTGAGAATTCTGTCATAAGAATAATAAAACATACATAATACATCTGAACAGTGTTCACATATGGTAATAACGATGGTAGTAACAATTTCTTTCTTTAGACAATGTTAACATATCCATAATCATGTTGTATTAGTTCATAAGAATCATTCATTGACACAGAATATTATGAAAAACAAAAAAATATCAAGTATCGAAATTAGTTGCCTTGGCAACTAAAATAAAAAGAAGAAAAAGCATAAACTTTTATTGTAAAGAGTTTTTGAAATGTAAATGTAAAAAAACAACAATAATATAATCCAATATGAGAAAATACGTTAGTTTAGAAACATTTACGATGTACAATACCTGGACCAGATTCATCATATTCATGTTTTGTGATCCACATTTGATTAAATGTTGATAATGAAGCTAATATAGACCCACCAATCCATACAGAATATTTACGTTCAGGTGGTGCTATAATTTTAATTTTCATTGTTGTTGGAGCAAGACTACAAATTTCTTTTTGCATACGATCTGAAATACCAGGAAACATGGTAGAACCACCAGATAGAACAATATTTGAATAAAGATCTTTACGAATATCAACATCACATTTCATAATTGAACTATATGTTGTTTCATGTATACCAGAACATTCCATACCTAAGAAACTTGGTTTAAATAATGCTTCAGGACATCGAAATCGATCGTTTCCAACAGTAATCATTTGACCATCAGGTAATTCATAACTTTTTTCAAGAGATGAACTAATTGCAGCAGTATTCATTTCTTGATCGAAGTCCAAGGCAACATAACACAGTTTTTCTTTAATGTCACGAACAATTTCACGTTCAGCAGTAGTTGTAAATGAATAACCACGTTCAGTTAGTATTTTCATAAGATAATCAGTTAAATCACGACCAGCCAAATCAAGACGAAGTATTGCATGTGGTAGTGCATAACCTTCATAAATAGGAACAGTATGACTTACACCATCACCTGAATCCAATACTATACCCGTAGTACGACCAGATGCATACAAAGATAAAACTGCCTGAATAGCAACATACATAGCTGGACTGTTAAATGTTTCAAACATAATCTGTGTCATTTTTTCACGATTTGCCTTAGGATTCATTGGTGCTTCAGTAAGTAGAACAGGATGTTCTTCTGGAGCTACACGTAATTCATTATAAAATGTATGATGCCATATTTTTTCCATATCATCCCAATTAGAAACAATTCCATGTTCAATAGGATATTTCAAAGTTAAAATACCTCTTTTCGATTGTGCTTCATCACCAACATAAGTCTCTTTTTGTCCCATGCCAACCATAACACCTTGATGTCTTGGACGACCAACAATTGATGGGAATACAGCTCTTGGTGCATCATCACCAGCGAATCCAGCTTTACACATACCAGATCCATTATCAATTACAAGTGCACTACTATCATCTTCATGTCCAGCCATAGTTGAATATATTTTCCTTTAGTTTACTTAAACGAAGTAATATACCAAACTGATAACAGAATTTTGTAAGTAGCTTAATTTGAGTAGTGTATTTATATAGAATAATTTTATATGAAATCATGTACACATGACAAAGTTATCATATGAAGTGATTTCAATTTGTAGGTCAGATTTTTACTCTATCATTATAGGTCTGTTAAACATTTTGAACAAAATTATCAAATAATTATTTTAATAATTGGGATCACCATGAAAATTCTGGAAACACTAGATGGCTGTTTTATCCCTACTGTGAGACTCCACCTTGACAGTGCGCATCCACGATCCTATCTTGCATGATTTGAAACCATGACTTACACGTTTCGTGCGCTAGCGTTTAACCTCTAGATCATTGAACCGGTTGGCATTCAAATTAAATTCACTGATGTGTTATCTTATAGATCTTGACTCGTGGTTTCACACTATATGACAAAACGTGAATCAGTATTGTCTAGGCAAAAAAGTATTATAAAAACACTGTAATATCATGGAATTATTTATAACAATATAAGAATGTCAACTTCTCTTTAAAAGACTAATATTAAACTTGTACAGTAATGAATAATCAGTTAAACGTTTCTATGGTATGAATAAAACCTAGTGATTTGAGTTTAATATACATAAGATTTGGTTCAAAATCTCATATCTGTCAGAAGGTGATCAATTGAAATAGCCAGAAGGTCAATAAAATGAAACTTTCTAATAATTTTATTACAATCTTTTTCAGTCATCTTGTTCAGTTACATATTACTTAGTGGTGATATGTATCATCTCACATGATGGTCCGTTGGAATATGTGGGCTACCTGTTCCTGTCATCTGGATATTTCAACAAGTTGCCTGTTTCTTTGTTGGTTTTTTTAACACATCATTAGACCTATTAATCTCATAACCTATTCAGGTACTTTTGTGAAACCTTTACGACAATTCACTGTACAACGTACAAAAGTGTTCAATCAGGGATATCGTAGTTGCTGATAATATGCATCGAAAAGAATATACATTATTTAGATGTCGATTGACAGAACTGTCAACATCTAACTGGCGACCAGTCAATATTTATCCCATGGATGGATCAAGCGATAAGAAAATGAAACTTGTTGAAATACACTATGCTGAAAATTCTATATTGTACCGAAAGTACAATATTGAATAAAACCGCTAATAATAATAATAAGTTTCTTGGCCATAGAACGAAAGATCAGTTTACTTAAAATGTTAATGGAAATCGCAAATGTGGAAGGCATATATTATATCCATAGAGTGTTAGATTACTAATGTGTATTGGTAGCTAAATATTTCCCATGGAAACATAACATGTAATTAAAAAGTGAAATGAGTATTTGTGTGACGAACACTACTCACAGTACCGTTCACTTCAAACGCCATCACGTTATCCACTCAGCTACTGAGTTTTGATGGTTACCTGCTTGTGAAATGGGGTGAAGTTTTAAACTCACTTGATGTTGTTTTACTTGTATCTTCTCATTGATGCTTAGGACTGTAATTGATCAGTTTCTTGTTGATATATGTATATCCTGTACGAACTGCCTCAATATTGCCTTAGGTCACAAGCTTTATAAGTAAATGTAGAAGTCTACAGTAATACTTAAATATTAATAAACTAGTAAACTTTCTGCTTTATGTTAGAAATAAAAACTTTACCTCATTCAAACTCAGATCAGATCATTTTATTACAATGATATTACTTGTAAGTAATTATAATTTATTTAGTGGAATTTCACAGATCACATACTATTTCTTTGTTATTAACTGATATAGCTGTTATTCGTTTATCATATTGATCTGATCATATTTCTCATTGAATGATTCAGATGAGCAAATACTTAACTGTTTGAAAGGCAAGAATCAAGATGGATTATCTAATTTACATGAATTCTTAGTTCAAATCAGTCGGTTGGAGTTGGTGAAGAGTTTTTGAAACATTGATGAAAGGATTGTCAATAGATTTTAGGCGAGAAAAAACAAGTAGTCATTTGTTATTAATACAGTGACGATTGATAAGGAGACAAACGTTTGATTATTGAGATAGCTATTTACATTTTCTTCTATCAGATATGAAACTTGAGTAACTCGGCTAAATCCACTATATAGGTACAATATTTATTTACTACAATATTTTCAGATTATCTCAAACGTATTACAACTTTATATCAATTTGGGGATAAGAAGATTATTAAGTTGTTGATCGGGATTATGAATCAATTAAGGTTGGAGGCTCATTGAAAACCTGGAAGCACTGAACAGCCATTTCGTTCTACTATGGGACTCCTCAGCGGTGTACATCCACGATCTTGCCTCAAAAGATTCGAAGATAGGACGTATCAGTCTTGCGCGCGAACGCTTAACCATTAGACCACTGAGTCGGCTGGCATTCAACGAATGTTAATGTCTAAATTCAACTAATCCACGAAACTGCGCGACTATCTTCTATTGTACTGAGGTAGATACTTGTCTCTACTCAACACGAATTATCTCCATTTGTCACTGCTTCTCACTAAAACTCCAAGAATTCCCTCACAAAGCTAGTCAGTAGTGAGCACGTGGTAATAATCAGTATAGGGTTGTGAAGATTAATAAGTTTTTTTGATTGAGATCATGAAGCGATTGATGTTAGACCACCGATGAAAACCTGAATACACTAGACAGCCGTTTTGTCCTATTGTGGTACTCCTCAGCAGTGTGCATCCACGTTCCCACTCGTGGGATCTAACATCAATCGATTCATGATCTCAATCAAATTCAAATTTATAGTAAAATTAGAGAAGGGTTTTGTGGATATCATAGTTATTTAATAGTTGAATTCATGAGTCCGTTAAAGTTAGATCATCATGAAACATCTGGAAGTAATGGATGGCCGTTTCGTTCTGATGTAGGGCTCCTCAGTAGTACGTATTTACAATCCCAAGACTTATCAGTCTCGCGTGTGAACCAACGAGATTGCTAGTATCCAACGGGTGTTGATATGTAACTTCAACCAATTCACAAAAAACCACCACCATTGTTTTTAGGAAGTTACTATCTTACAATAGACTCGATTGAACTCTACAAGTGACGACTTTCAAGTTTTCGATAATGATCTAAATTCAATAAATTTATAAATTCAACTACTAAATCAATAATATATCACTTATAAATCCATCAGCAACAGCCTTTTGTGGGAGAGAACCAACCAGCTTCCAGCTGAAGAGGAAATTAGGAAAAGACGATGGAAATGGATAGGACATACATTGAGGAAATCATCAAACTGTATTACGAGACAAGCGCTAACTTGGAATCCTGAAGGGAAGCGGAAAAGAGGAAGGCCAAAGAACACATTACGTCGGTAAATAGAAGCAGATATGAAAAAGATGAATAAGAACTGGAAAGAGCTTGAAAGGATTGCCCAGGACAGGGTTGGATGGAGAATGCTGGTGAGCGGCCTATGCTCCTTCACGAGGAGTAACAGGCGTAAGTAAGTTAGTAAGTATAAATCCATTTAAAATTGTATTGTTTATTTTGAATAAGTATTGTTGATATGATTTACATGGTTACAATTACTTATGAATTATATAAAATGATATGAAATTTTTTCAATAAAACACTTAAATACTTTCATAATCTTATTTGATGAAATTATTGAAAAAAAAAAATTTCAAGTTTTTTTAAACAATAATCTACAAGATTAATTCTTGATTTGTTTGTTTGATTTATATTAATAACTAAATGATATAATTGTTATAATAGAATGTTGATTTTCTTTTCTTTTTTTTTTTACTTTTATTTTTGTTTTAATTATTTATACATTATGAAATTATTATTGGTTATTGATATTTAATTTCATACGATTTTAACATTCAATTAAGTATTGAACTATGAACATGAGAAAAGAAGAAGAAAAAAAATAATAAAGAAAAACAAAAAAAAACGGGTGAAGGGTGGTGGAATAGAAACAATGAAAAAAAGAAAATTACAAAACACTTTTATTCATAATTTAAAAAACGGAATTAAAATTATAATTTATAAGGGGAAAAAAAATCAATTATTCTGTTGAACTTGATATGAAATAAAAAGGAACGAGAAGAAAAAATGGAAAAAAGAAAAAAAAATTAAGGAAAAACAAATAGGGGTGGGTGGGAGAAGAAACAAAGGGGAAAAAAATGACAAAATCTTTTAGTCATAATAAAAGAATCATTTTAAAATTATGGTTCATAAGATGAAAAAAAAAATCAGCTATTCTGTTGAACTTGAAATGAAAGAAAAAGAAATGAAAAAAATTTAAAAAATAAAGAAAAGCAAACTGTGGGGGTGGAAGAGGATGAAATGGAAAAAATTACAAGAGCTATTATTCATAATAAGTGAATAATTTAGAATTGTAGTTGAAATGAAATAAAAAGGAAGAAAAAAAGAAAAAAAGAAAAAGAGAAAAAAAAGAATATTTCAATGGTTAATTATTAAATTAAACATGACGAAAAAAGAGAGGTAGAATTGATGCCAAAGAAACGAAACAACGATTGATTATTATTATTATTATTAATAATAATAATCTATATGTTTTATAAATGTATTAAAATAATTTCTCCACCCCATCCCACCCCATTCCACTCCACTCAACCCCACTCTGAAAAAAATAATCTATTAAGCAACTATAGCTGTTGAATCTTTTTGTAAATTTGCTTGCATACGTACTTGATATTTTGGTGGTGAAATTGATCGATGAATAGGATCAGTATTATGTTGTTCTATAATTATATGACTATTGTTTTTATTATTATTATTATTATCATTACAAACATTATCACTATTATCAGTATTATTATTATTATTATTGTTATTACAGTCATCTTTGTTATTATTTATTATATTCCGATTAAATTTTTCTAATATTGGTGATGATGATGTACTATAACCAGGTGGAAATACTCTATAACGATCATATGTCATATGAATTGTTGAACGACGTCTTAACATTTCAACAGCTTGTAAACGACGTTCTCTTGCGATAGGGGTTTCATGATGTAATAAAAATGGTGATATATTTGCTGGTATATCTAAATCATCATCATCATCATTATCATTATTATTATTATTATTATTATTATTATTATTATTATTATCATTATTAGTAGTAGTATTATTATTATTATATTGATTGTAAGTAATATCATAATGATTATTATTATTATTATCTTTTTCTTTATTTATATTATTAGAATGATTGATTTCATGTAGATCAGTATGAACTTTAATTAATTCAGTAAAATATGTTACTAAACTTTTAACATTTGGTATTGGTGTATCACGTGTTTTAACTAAATTTGGATATAAATCAGTTGCTAATTCAGTTGATCCATTTAACAGTTCTATATTCTTTGAATTTGTATTTAATAATAATGAATCTATATTTGTTGTATTTGATAAATGACTTGATATTTTACTATTAATATAACGTATTTCTGATGTAATTAATGTAGAATTTTTTTGTTTATCCATAGTAATTTCATTAATATTATGTAATTTTGGTTTAGGTGGTATAGATGGTATACTTTTTAATGTTGATGATGATGTTGAATACATATATCTATCTGAATTATTATTATTATTATCACTATGTAATGATGAATGTTTTCCTGGAGATGATTTAATCTCATCATTTAATCCATTTATATCTTTAATAGTAATAATACGTTCATTTTGATATTTATTTTTATCATTATTATTATATTTAGAACTAGATGTTGTAATATCTTCTGTAGATGTTGATTGAGGTGAAGATTCATTTAATACTCTTTCATATGATAAAGTCTTATTACTAAGTGAATTATTCAACAATAGATTTGTATTTGAATTCATTTGTTCCATAGTGATTTTATTTTTTATACTACTTATTTCATTGTTAGTAGTTTGATGAGTATTACTAATATTATTATCATTATGATGATGATGATTTGGATTATTGATAAATTCTAATTTAATTTCATTAGTAGAAGTATTTGTATAATTAGATGATGGTCTACTAATAATTAAATTATTTTCATTAAAATTTTCATGTTTTTCATTATTTAAATTAAAATCTGTTTGTTGTTTAATGATTTGTATTTTAACTTCTTTATCTTGATTATTTTGTTCATAATTTTCATGTTGTTTATGTTGTTCATGTAATGATGATTCATTATTATTATTCTGTAGATTATGTGTTATTACATGAGGATGAATCCAATCATTATAATCTTGATTTTCATCATTATCAGTAGTGATAGCAATAGCATCTTCATCATCCTCATCATTATCTTCATTTTTATCCTTATCATTATTATCTTGTTTATTAGAATATCTTGATGAATGTATAATAAAATCTTTATCTTGATATTCATCAGGTGGAAGTGGTGATATAGTTGGTGAACTTGGTGTATCACCTAATGTACCAAGTTGAATCCATTGAGTAATATGTTGTTGTTTATCAGCTTCATTCATTTGTCTTGGTTTAATATCAACAATAATTTTATTACAATCTAATTTACATGGTTGTTGTAAAGTTTTTAAATTTTTTGGTAAATCATTATATAAATCCATTTGATTTAAACTATTCATATTACTATTTGATATCATATTATATTGTGATTTATTATGTATATTCGAATTATATGATGTTCTATCCATAGATGTATAATATTTATTATCTTCTTGTGAATATCCAGATGATTGAAATATAATTCGTTCATAATCATCTTCCATTTCATGATATGAAAGATGATTATTATGATTATTATTATTATTATTATTACTAGTATTAGTTGAATTAATAAATTGTGGAGTTGAACATTTATCCAATGATATACATGAATAACCAAGTGAATATGATGAATTTTTCAGTTTTTTACGTTTCAATGATGAACGTCCACATCCTTTACAAATATAAGTACGTACTTTTTCATTAGATTTACTATTTAAATAACTATCACTATTATCTCTATATCGATGATAATGTTGATGACGATGATCAGAATGATGAGGAGGAGGAGAATGGTGAGGATGGTGATGATGATGATGATGAGGATCATCATGATGATGATGATGATGATGATGTTGACGACGATTATGATGAATTGATGGATCTATGATATTTTTTCTATAAGATATAAAATCATCATTTTGTACATTCGGTAAAGAATTTGATGTAGGCGCAGGAATAACAAACATTGCAGTTTTATATAAATCAATTTCAGTAGTTTGTTCAAGATTTTTTTGTGATGGTAATTTTGAACAAAGTGAACGTGTTGATAAATGATTTTCATGACTACTTAATGGTCTATATTGTTTTGATATTTCATTTATATGAGAAGAATTTAATTGATAAAGAAGAGGACGTCTATGAGATTCATTCCCTGAAGAAACAAATTGATATCGATCATATGTATCAGATATATTCTCTTGATAATGTTGATCATCTAATTTCAATGGATTTGAACGAGATCTTACAGAGGAATAAAATTTTAATTCATTATTCAGTGATTTATAATCAAATGAACCGGTAATTGTATTGAATCTTGAATGGGATCTGTGATTAGAATTACGTTTATTATTATTATTATTATTATTATTATTATTATTATTAGTATTATTAGTATTATTATTATTAGAATGTTTATATTGATTTAATTCAATTTCATAACTTGATCGAATATTATAATTTTTATTCGATGGTATATGTTTATCATTATCAGACTGAAAGGAATGATAATCATGGGAATAATTCAATTCTGATGATTTCATTAAAACATTGGAATTCATTCTATGTAAATGAGAATTAGAATAAATTTTTGGAGCTGAAAATGGACGATCAATTTTATATTGATCGTTTTTTCTATAATTATAATTTGATGTATAAATAATAGGTGATTGAAATTGTTGATAAGAAATTGAATTATTTCGTGGAATTTGTGATCTTCTACTATCGGGTAATGTATAGGTTCCAGAAGTAAGAGTTGATTCACTGATTGATGATCCTAAAATGATTTTTTTTTTTAGAAAAAAAAAATAAAAAAGAAAGCCAGTAAGAATGAGTTTCAATAAATAACTATTAGATTAGTAAGTAATTATTATAGATTCTGATCATGTTAGATTTACTTACTTACTTACTTACTTACTTACTTACTTACTTACTTACTTACGTACGCCTGTTACTTCTAATGGAGCATAAGCTTCCAACCAGTATTCTCTCTCTCACTCTGTCTTGGGCCTTCCTTTCCAGTCCTATTCAATTTTTGTTCATTTTTCTCATGTCTGTCTCCATTTCTCGACGTAATGTGTTATTTGGTCTTCCTCTCTTCTTTCGATTTTGAGGATTCCATGTGAGGGTTTGCCTTGTGACGCAGTTCGGTGCTTTCCTCAATGTGTGTTCTATCCACTTCCAGAGCTTCTTCCTGATTTCTTCCTCCACTGAGATCTGGTTTGTTCTCTCCCATAATAGGTTGTTGCTAGGAGTTTTGAGCCAACGGATCTGAAGTAGTTTGCGTAGACAACTGTTCATAAACACTTGTGCATGATGGCTTTCACAGTTCTCCACGTTTCTGTCCCATACAGTAGAACTGTCTTGACATTTGTATTGAAAATCCTGACCTTGGTGTTGATCGACAGACAGTTGTTTTGAGTTTCAGATGTTCTTCAATTATAGATGTGCTGATCTCGCTTCGCCGATCCACAACTTCACATGTGCATCAGATCCACCGTGTTCATCAATGATACTGCTCAAATATGTAAAGGTTTTTACATCTTCCAAATTTTCTCCGTTAATTGTGATTGGATTCGTGCATGTTGTGTTGTATCGGAGAATCTTGCTTTTCCCTTTGTGCATGTTGAAACCTACTGCTGCTGAGGCTGCTGCTACACTGGTCATCTGCTGTTGAATTTGTTATTGCGTTTGCGATAGAAAAGCCAGATGATCTGCGAAGTCTACATCGTCCAACTGCACCCTAGATATCCACTGTATCCTGTGCTTTCCTTCAGATGTTGAGGTCTTCATGATCCAGTCGATCACCAGGAGAAAGAGAAAGGGTGAGAGTAACCATCCTTGCCTGACACCGGTCTTTACTTTGTCAACTGTCTTCCATGCACGATTTTACAGTTTAATCCATCATAGAAATTCTGTATGATATTGACTATCTTATGTTAGATTTAATGGACTTAAATAGTTGAAGGGCCCAGTCAAGCAGTTTTGTCAGTTTCTGACGTTAAGCACAGGTAAGGAAAACTATTTTAAATCTAAATAACCTTCACAACTCTTCTTCACATACATGAACTATTCATTAGGTAAATCACAGTCACTAAACAGAATAAATTAGTCATGTAAGGAATCACATTCATGGAGAATATACGTATTTTGTACAGGCAAATACTTCACAGGAATGAACATAGCCGATCATACTAAATTTATATGTCATATTGTTTTTCATTTAATTATGCATAACGTCATCCAGATCAAAGAACAAAACTCCATCAAAATGCAGTTTATGAGTCAATAATACCAGTGAAATAGATTATATAAATAAACATAAAAATTAAAGAGTACAAATTGATAATGGAATGATAGGTGTACTAATTGTAATAAGAATAAGAAAGGTTTTTATCCATGTTTGATAGTGAGAATTAGATCAATGATTTGAGTGATATAGTTATTGAGATAACATTGTTCAATACTATAAGATAATGTAATAAGATATGTTCAACTGATTAGACAATGAAGAGTACTGGGTTCGAGTCACGGAGTGAACATCAACTCTGGGATTTTGGTACATCCAGCTGACGCATTCTAAATAGGACGAAAGGTATGTCGTGGTTTCCACTACTAGCCACTATCCATCTTTACTTATAATGCTTGTAAATTAAAGCAATATCGAGGCATACGCACAGTATGCACATATGCCAATAAAAGACTGATCAGTGAGACTATAATTTATGAAGGATCATTGAGCGACATTAAAGTGACGTTTAGATGTCCACCTAATGACTAGGAACAAATGAAGGTTATGATTTACAGTTGATGGTTAGAGTTAAAAACTACATTTAGAGATTTCACCACGAACTGACATCAGCTGTAATACCAAACCTCTATTTACCCAAATGGATGAGTGAATTTCGCACCAAAATCCGAGACCTGTTATTTTATAAGTGATTGGTTCGTCCATAGTTTATAGTCTCGGCGACTGATCTATTACAGTCTTAAAGACCAATGGGAAGATTCAGATAAACAATACAAAATGAAATAACAGCGTTCATTCAGTAGACAGAAATAGATCAGTTAAAGTTATTTATCGTATTACTGCTGATTATCCTTTTGGAGTTCGATCTCGTCTCTTGCACATAACAGAGGTCACAGGAATCCGGGCTAATAATCCAACTCTCTGCCTTGGCTTTAATAAATGACTTTATTATTATTTCCATACTCTTTGTTTGTTTATATCCTTCTACTCCCTTGCATCTCATTTTTCCACAAATGTACGCTTTATTGTCCAATTATCTGAACAGATTTTATTACATAAGGTCACTTTAGTGTCTCTCAAAGGTTGTCCATAAATTATCGACTCCTGTGAGGATTGCCTCTATATTGCTTTAATTTACAAGCATTATAAGTAAAGATGGATAGTGGCTAGTAGTAGAAAGCACGACATACCTTTCGTCCTATTTAGAATGCGTCAGCTGGATGTACCAAAATCCCAGAGTTGATGTTCACTCCGTGACTCGAACCCAGTACTCTTCATTGTCTAATCAGTTGAACATATCTTATTACATTATCTTATAGTATTGAACAATGTTATCTCAATAACTATATCACTCAAATCATTGATCTAATTCTCACTATCAAACATGGATAAAAACCTTTCTTATTCTTATTACAATTAGTACACCTATCATTCCATTATCAATTTGTACTCTTTAATTTTTATGTTTATTTATATAATCTATTTCACTGGTATTATCGACTCATAAACTGCATTTTGATGGAGTTTTGTTCTTTGATCTGGATGATTTAGTCGTGAAGCTTTCATCATTCTTCTAAACAACATCATCAGTACAAAGTTCAGGTAGACTTATAAACTACTTTGATTGATTTAATAATTTTGTATATGTATATAAATATCACCGTATATTAGAGTAAATCTTTATAAGGATCTAATCAAAAAATAATATTGTTCACTTATATATATACTGAAGAAAGCAATAAAAAAAATGATCTTAAGAACAATTCAATCAATAATCTTATGCTATTAATTAGTGCTTTGTGAAGTAATCAATAAATATCATCATCATCATCATCATCATCATCATCATCAACATCATCATCAACATCATTATCATCACCCCCTATGGTTATTGAAATTAATAACTTTTCAAGTTAATATAAAGTACATAAGATATTCCGAATTCCATCCGCCTCTCTCGCTCTCTCTCACTCTCACTGTCTCTCTCTCTCTCTCTCACACACACACACACACACACTTTCTCTCTCACTCTCTTAATCTACTAGTTTTTTCATTATTTCAATCAATTTTGCTACTTAGAAACTAAACTAAGAATAGTTTGACATAAATAATTACATTATTATGCATAATATTTTTATTTCTATTACATTCTATTGAATTATTTAAAAGTGATGATTTCATTTATGTAATTAATTCATAAAATAAAACCATTATTAATATGTTTGTATATGTATTGGTTATGTAATTAATAATATCCAAGTGAGATATTGTGGTATATGGTAGTAATTATTTTTTTGTAGTTGAATGAATGAGTCAGTTGAAGGTAGACCATCATAAAATACTTGGAAATAATGGATAGTTGTTTTGTCATATTATGGGACTCTTTTTTGGCAGTGCGCATCTTTGATCTCGCCAAGTGAGATTCGAACACAGGACCTGTCGGTCTTGTGTGAGAGCGCTTAACCTTTAGATCACTGAGCCGACATACAACGATATTAATGTCTAACTTCAACTAATCTACAAAATTAAGCGGCACATCCACCATAGTCATCAGTTAATTACTATCTCACAACAGACCCGGCTGTAGTCCACTGGTCATTGATTGTCACTAGAACTCCAGGATATACATCTTGAAGTCAGTCACTAGTCCCATAAAAGGAAGAAATCGGAAGTCCAATACTTCCAGGTTTTCCATGGTGGTCTAGCTTCAACTGACTCATCATGTCAACTAGTGAAATCAATTAAATTCTTATTATACATAATATGATATGAATTAAAAATAATTATGAAAATTATCATTATATATGTGAATCCATACGATTAAATCGCTTTGAAAAACAATTATCCATTAATTTAACTATTTATTAAGAGGTATATTGTGAAGTTCTAGTGAGAAGCAGTGACTAGTAGAGTACAACCGGGTATGTTGTTAGATAGTAACTCATTGAAGATAATGGTGAATGTGTCGCTGAATTTCATGGATTAGTTGAAGTTAGACATTAACACTTGTTGGATGCCGGTCAGCTCAATTGTCTAGAGGTTAAGCGCTCGCGCGCTAGACTGATAGGTCCTGGGTTCTAATCTCGTGAGGTGGGATCGTGAATGCTCACTACTAAGGAGTCCGGTTATAGGACGAAACGGTCATCCAGTGCTTCCAAGTATTCCATGATGGTCTCATGTAGTCAAATATAAAATTACTATAATGTCCACTAAATCCCTTATGATAATAATTATTATTAACAACCATAAAATTTCAGTCATTATAAATAACCAGAAAAAATAAATGAAGCCAAATCTTCACTAATGAAGTAACTTTTTATTTTTCTGCTCAGTAGTACTTAGTGGATACTACCGATACATCAGCTATTCGGAAAGAAACAAAATAAACATCACTGTTTTTTGGGGAGGGGGGGGAAATATGGAAACATTTATTTGACTAACATATTATAATATGAAAAATATTCCAAGTGATATAGTAATTATCAAAATATTATTAACATGATCGCGTTTTATTGAACTCATTTACA